CACAATTATTACAACCTCTTAGAACAGGAGTGAGGGCTTAGCACCTTGCTCAGATGACTAATTAAGCTGTGCTGGGATTATGAGATTATGGGAATTCCCCCTGCCAAACTTTTCCAGTGGTTTTATATAGCTTTACATAATTTTTAAAAAATATTCCAAAAAAATCAATTCATGTATATTGAGCTCATAGTAGAGGCAATACAATATAATGGAAAGACCACTGACTATGGCCCCCATGATCCTCACCTCCTGGCATTTACTTCTTTATAGAATCCCTTCCTCTGGAGTGTGGGCAGGAGCTGTTACTTGCTTCCAATCAGTAGAATATGGCAAAAGTGTTGGGATGTCACTCTAGTGATGATGTTATTACACAAGGCTTTATCTTTCTAGCTGACTCACACTAGAGTCTCTCTCTCCTTTGTTGGATACAAAGAAGCAACTGCCAAGAGTATAACAGCTTCAAGGAGATGAATTCTGCCAACGACCACATGAGTTTGAGATGGATTCTTTTATAGTAGAGTCTCCAGATGAGAAACCTGTCCTGGTTGACACCTTGATTACAGCCTTGTAGGACCCAGCTAAGCTATACCAGGACTCCTGACCTACAGGCACTGTGATATAATAGACGTGTATTAATTTAAGCCACTAAATTTATAGCAATTTGTTAAACAGCATAGAAAACTAATACAGAACCCAAATGACTTGGGTTTGAATCTCAGATCCTTCACTTATTATCTGTGTGACAGAGCAAGTTGATTAACCTCTCTGACTCTCAAATTCCTCATTTATTAATTGAGAGTAATAATACTCGCCTCTCAGAACTGTTGTACAGAAAATTACAGACAACAGAAGCAATGTGCCTTTAACACTGACTGCCACAAAATATGCTAGATTGTAAATTATAAGGTCTCTCAAGGCTGGAACCTCATCTATCTTGCTTATCATTCTATACAGTGTCTATAATCATATCTGACCCATAGCAGGTATTCTATAAATATGCACCAAATGAATAAATAAATGAGATAAGCTCTCAAGGAAATGTAGCTACTTTAAATATACATAAGGAACTGTAGTTATACATAATTGAAAGAGAACCCCTGCCTTCAAGGTATTAAAAACAATGAATTACCCCATAGTGCATCAATCACAATATAGGACAGCCTTTCTGGAGCAGTATGATAGTGAGGATATGCAGATAAGGAGCCAGACTCTGGAATCAAACATAAGAAAATTGTATCTGCACAATTCAATGTAATCTTTTGATAAACTGCTGTCAATATCAATAGAAAATATACTTATATGAAGATGATAAAAGAGGTATTTAAATCAAGCAGTGTAGTCACTAGATAGTCATGATGAGTGGTTTGTAAAATGCTGGACTGATGCCTGAACATTTGTAAAGTCTAATGACTTTCCTCAGTCACTTCATGGGGCTCTTGAGAAGTAAGGTGGGCTATTTAGCACATCCAGGAAATGTTTGAGGGACTACTCAGAGACTGTAAAATTCTCCATGAGAAGCCTCAGAAAGATGCAACTATTTATTGCATTACATCAAAATCCCAGCATTGTGCTCAGAAAAAGTGTCTACCAAAGTAAAAAAAATTACTCTGGTAACAATCCATTAAAAAGTACTTCTAATATAAGAGAATCTAATAGAAAATTGACTGGCAGTTAAATATTGTCAAGCAATACATTCCTTGAGACCTAGTCAATTTCCATTAAAAACATCCTGCCATATTGTAAAATTGTTCTTTTTCATAGATTGGCTTCTTTTCCTGGCATCTATTAAAAGGCTCCCAATTGATAAGCAAATCTGAAGCAGTAGAAAAAATTCCAAAGTTAAGTCAATTTGAATCACAAAACTTATACTCACAACACTCAGCTAGTGTTCACTGTAAAAATCCACCAATATTTGTTTCTGTGAAAAAGGGAAGACCAAAAACATTGGTGAACAATGAGTAAGGAAGTCATTGACTCAATCTCTGAAAGTCCTCCAAATCATTTTGTGAAGAAAAAACAATAATACTCACACAGACAAAGACACATGCACATTCTCAGAAATGCAATTTCTAATCACTCTAGGTTGAAAGAAAATGATTTCTCCACTTCCTTTTACTTTTTCAGAGGGAAAGGAAGCTGTATTTACATATGTCCCACTGAATTTTCAACCCAAAGACATCTCTTTGCTATGACCAAATTCTCCCTCAGTGCAATAAAAATATTTTAAGGCAATTACTTTTTCAAATTCAAGAGTCATATTATTGTAGCAATAGACAGAAGGGGAACAAAACATAAAGAATGTTTTAGGGAGGTCTGACCTATTGCTAATGGCATCACTCAAAGTAGGCAGAGAATCTCAGTCTAACACCCACCATGAAGCAAAGCATCAAATGCAGAAAAGAACCATAATCTTTTCACATTGATCAAATTCATGGAAATGGCACAAAATGCTCCAGTTCATCTTCCTTAAATTCAATTTATTTACCCTTAAAATTACTATTTTATCAAATCTCTAATAACAGGAGATAGTGAATCTTTGTATACGTTATCTAATGGGGCAATTTTCACAAATAATTGTCAGATTTTAGATCACAGGGTCAGCTTTCCAAATAACTAAAACCTTATCTAACTAAATAGCATGCTTTATTACTGTCATATAGTGAGACAAATAGGTATGACTTCACTTTTTTTCATACTGAAAACAAATATAGCCACCCAATTTAAAGCTAACCCTCAGTTACAGTCTATTTAAGGTAAAGGACTTTAAGTGGCCTTACACAAACATATGATGATTACATGTTTTTTGCTTTTTTATGGAATTTGTGAGAATATCCACAAAGAAATGTATATTACTAAATGTTTAACAATCTAAAAGTTTTTTATTTGAATGTTTCTTCAGGGTTGTAGGCTCAGTTGGTAGATAATTCTTGGTCTGGTTACCTTCACATACACAAAAAACTGCATGTCCCTGGTCACTCTCTCTAGACCCTTCTGGGAAAATAACTGCTAACCACATCCAGCTAATGGTGGGTCCATAGCATAATCCTTACACCTAAAGGGCTGCCTGTGATTTCAGAAAACACAAAAACAAAAAAAACAAACCAAATACTACCATTTCACACTAACTTCGCTGTAGTACTGATTTTTTTCCTCTGTAGTTGGTGAGGTGATAAATATTTCATAACAGAGGAAATTAAACACTTTCCTTTCAAGGGAGCATGGCAACTCAGAGCATTCTGTATCCTGGCCCAAACAAATGCATTTGCCATTGGAGAAAAAATTAGTCTGAAGCCTGAACAGTGTGCCCCACATGAACATTCCAGAGAACAATATGAATGTACTCCCAGACTCAAGCCATAAAGCATATTCCAAACTGTCCAGCTGAGAACAATTGCCATGTATTACCAAATTAGTTAAATAAGACCAGGATCAAATGGTCCAAGATATTAACCAACTAGCAAGCTAAGGCTGCTAAAACAAAAGAGGCCTGAGTCAGGTAGTTCTGTGGGCTCATCAGTGACTTTTTGGTGCAATTTAATTGCTACCATTGTTATTTGGACTATGACCATTGAGAACAACAGCATGTCCAGCAATAGGAACTGCTGTCAAGGATGGTGAAATGTCTGCTATTTTTACTTCACTTGCAAACTAATAAGTAAACCTGCCACAGTTTTAAGGATGGTGGCAGAAAACATGAGATTTCTGGGTCATAGCAACAGCAGTAGCCAGAGTATCAGCATTTTCTTGTACCTATTCCCTGATCCTCAATTCTTATAGGGTGACACAGGGTGCCAGGTTAGGGAACCTGGATCTTTCATAATGAGCAGTAAGCAAATCTTCCCTTTGCTTTAGAGAGAGACACTATCTCATTTTTTAAGGCTGTTTGCATCCTTGAAAAGATAATTCAGAACAAAAAGTCATTGCCTCTGCTTACAAGATGTACGCAAATACAAGAGATGAATGGAAAACTGTCTGCCAGCATCTACCATGTACAACCTATTTGGCTATTATAGAGTTCTCAGCTCTTGTCTTATACATTTCTGAAGGTGAAGCTAATATCAACATCAAATGCAGTTTTGGGTGATGAAATCCTGTAATTTCACCACCTGGCTGAATAGAAAATTGTAGGAGTGAAGGTGTATAGCAATTCAATTAAAAATTCTGTAAGACTGAACTCTTCTACATCCAGGTATAACACATTCATTCAGCAGTCCCTCATAATATGGGTTGTTTATTTGTAAAGTCAATTCTTGTGACCAATGTTACATCTTTAACTTCTCTCACTCTAAACCCAAATATCCATATATGTGCCAAAAGACAGAAACTAAATCATGATCTCATTTTAAAGTCTAGACAAGCTGCAAAGCATTTATTCTCTCTGTAAACATGCTTTTACCCTAAGGATTTTGTTCCTGATTCAGGAAAAGATTTGTTGAAATAAATCTAATACTAGTCAAGTTTAAAAAAGAAAAAAAAAACTGGCAGTTATCTTTACAGAATTCTTATTGAAAGTAAAGTATATGAAAGAAGGATTTTAATGTCTGGTGTTACTAGTAAAATGCTATGTAAGGATAATTGCTTTCTATTTTGTTCTGTTTTGATTTTAATCAATATTAAAAGGAAGCATAAATTATAAGGAATATAAATTGCTGAAATTAAAATACTCATCTTACCTTATGATTTTTAAAGTGTTTCACTGCTTACAACAGATTATAGGACATTTTTCCATGGGAAGCCAATAAGATATATTCTCTGCATTAAAATTTATACACACAGGGGAATTAATTATTCCAAGGAATCACCTCATGATCTGATAGTAGATAAATTACTGACATATATCTAATTTCCCTAAGCATCTGACTCACTCATTCTATAGTAAAGAATCACAGGCATAATTAACAGAAAACAAGTATTGAATCCATGCCTATCATGACCTTTCTAAAATTTGAATGTTACTTATTGACTGTGCAATCTACCAAAGCAATAAAATCTCATAATACCTGTTTGTTGATTGGCAGATATGCAGTTTCCTTAAGCATTAATGGATCTTTTAAAAGATCTACATGAGAAGTATTTGTTAATGATTCTTCATCATAGTATCCTGCAAATTTTTAACATCAGGTTTTAGACACATAAACACTTCGGTGACTAGTCTTGTAGGGTAACAGGGAAAAATCACTAAATATAATTTTCTTAGTGTAAAAACAAGTAAAAGTGTTGAACATAGTTTAAAGAGATTTGCTGCTATACTGCACTTAATTTAAAAATAATTTTAAATATTTTTTCTATTTTCTTCAGTCCATGAAATCTCCCCCCGCCCACCCCCAAATCTTGTAGATAAGTTCTTGTTCCACAACCTAGCTCTTCAGGGAACATAAAAGGAGAAAACATCATTCCTGTTTTAGAAAAATTTAAAATTTAGTAGGACACTAAATTCAATTTGCTACACTTCAGTAAAATATTTGTGATAGGTAAATATTTTAAAATATTTATGTCATGTGCTAAATATTACACTAAGCACTTTACATGCATTATCTCATTTTAATAGATGAGAATACAGCTCTTAGAGCAGTTAACCTTTCCCAAGAAGACACAGTGAGATAATGGTGGAATGGAGATTCAAAGTAAGCAGCTTGACTCCAGCTGCTTGAATCCACCACATTATACAAATGGAGTTAACTAATTGAGGTATAAATAAGAAAATAATGCTAGTATATTTTAAATAATTAGGAAAGTTTTCATTCTAAGGATTGAAAAGGAGTAAGGTAACCAGTAATCAATGAAAAAACCAATGGCTTTAGAAAAGTATAAGATTAAAATATAAAATTACTTTCTTTTAAGACTTACAGAAACATACTTTAAGCAGTTTTATCCATTTTAGTACATACTTTTGTCTAATACATTTTCTCAGCATTACTTTCTTTTCAAAACTAGAACTAAAATTAAAAATGGATTTAAAATGTATAAAAAGCAAGAAATAACCATACAATTTATTAGATTGCCCAACTTAGTTTCTGATAAAAAGGAGAGAGCTAGGTGTTCCCTGCTTTGGGAAAGTCCTGGGAAATTTCTTTAATTATGTAGTATTCATTTAAAACCAGCAGGCTTTTTTTTTTCTTTTTTTGAAATATCAGAAATTTAGAGTAAGATCTATGGTATAAGTTAAAACTGTATTTCGTTTCTACTCTCCACCAGATGGTATATTATCGAATATATTTCCCTTGAGGCTGTACTGAATACATTCATTTCTAAATCAACACAGCTGCTGACCAGTTCAGAGAACAATTCTCATTACAACTTCTGATCAGTATGATCTGTGGCATTCATCTAGATGAAGGTGTGTTTAGTGAAGGTCTGGAAATTCGGGTCTTTCTTATCGAACCACTGTGAAGTCATTTGACCAAAAGTTAAGGGTGGCATATTCTTTTGTAACTACTATATGTGCAGACACAGATGGAATTTATTTGCAATGTTAAAGTTTTCCATTGAAAGGACAGCTGCAACTATTTCACCCTTTTCTATCAAGATATCTGGTATATCGCAGTAATTTTCCCTCTAGCCTAGCACAGAGTAGGGCCCTCACCAAACCCTCCCTCAAGGCAAGAGAACTGATTTATATGGCATGACCTGGTCTAGAAAGGAGATACCCATAATTTCTGTTTATTCAGCGGGGCAGCAGGACACAGAATGAAGGTCTCTAGCTCTTCCATCCAGTAGAGGGAAGGAACACATTGCATACATTCAATACATGATTCTAATAAATCTACTAGTACAATTGAAAAAAAGACATGTTTGTTTGTGAACACCATTTAGTGAGAGGAAAAAAAGCTTAAATTAAGGTCTAAATTCTGCATTTTTAATGCACATATGGCTCCCCTTATGAAGAACCACAATTTGGCCCTGAAAATTTGTTCTTTAAAGGAAAAAAATTTAGCTGAAGTTTGTAAACTTTATACAAATTAGGCTACTGTATACCAATGAATGCAAACTTTCACCAACCATACCAAAAAATTAATTTTAAAGGAGGAGGAGGAAAAAAGAGACGAGGAGGAAAAAAGAGATGAGGAAGAGGAAGTACAACACCAAATTTGCATTATAGAAGGTATTATGACTTAGATTAGAATAATCACAAGTCCATAATTCTAAAACATGGAGACCAGAATGCTGCTTAGTAGACTGAATTTTAAAAGTTAAAACGTCTACTATAGGGAATTCCCTTGCGGTCCAGTGGTTAGGACTCCATGCTCTCACTGCTGAGGGCCCAGGTTCAATCCCTGGTCAGGGAACTAAGATCCCACAAGCCACGTGGTGTGGCCAAAAAGCAAAAACCTCTACTATATTAAAAATATTTTTAATTTATTTTTACTTATACACTGTGAAATTCACTTGCTTGGTATGCATTTCTATGGATTTTCACAAATGCATAGAATCATGTAACCAACACCACAATCAGAAAATTCTCTGACTCCCCTCACAAATTTCCTTGTGCTACCCCCTTGCAGCACTAGTTTTTATAATTAAAATTTCAGTTCACAGATATTCTTCTTAACTACTAGTTACTTACTGGTTTCTCGGTTTCTCTCAACCATTTTGCTGAATTCTTATTATTAGCTTTTTCACAGAAACAAATGGATAAGGGTCTGTATGTCAGGTCAGCAAGTATTTATGAAATGCTTGTTCTGGGCCCAGCATTGCACTACATTCTCTGGGGACTACAAGAGAAGAAAAAAATACTACATAAGAAGGGAGCTCATAGGCATGTGAAACTTTACAGCAGTACAAGACGTTATTTAATGGAATGCTTAATTGTGAGATTATGAAAGGGATTCTTAACTTAGAAATTAGGGTCTGTGACTCCCCTAAAATGTATATGTGTATGTCTTTGGGAGGAAGCTCCAGAGCTTCCATCAGGTTATCAGGTTAACTACAGTGAAAGATCCATAGGTGTTTTAGAAAGGAAATAACAATGGAAGAGGCAGGATGGAAATGATTGCTGGTAAATCTTACAATCCAATAAGCAAGAGAAAGACAACCTTCACATAGCACTTTAAGCTTTTACACCCATTACTTTCATTTGAACCAAGAAGCATTTGGAGAAGGTTCTTAAGCCATGAAATGAGATGAGGGAAACTGTTTGAGGAAAATTAGAAGAGCAGTAGTATGCAGGATGAGTTGAAATGGATGAGTTGAAAACAGACTATGGGTAAGGAGTTATTGTTTAGGTTTAAAGGGTCCAGAGTCAATTGGAAGGTGTGAGCTGTAAAAGTGCAGAGGAGAATCTAAGATACATTATTAAAAGAAAAAATGATAGGCTTCACTGATGGATACGTTGGGAAAGTTTAAGGAATAAGATTTATTTAATCAATCACTCATTTAACATGTATTTATTGAGCCGAGCCTATTAGGTTCCTGGCACTTGTTCTAGGCATCAGAGAAAGAGCAATAAACAAGACAGACAAGGAAGGTTTCTGCCCCCACAGAGTTTATAATCTAATGAGAGGAAACAGTTTATAATCTAATAATAGGAAAACAAATTAATAGACAAAATAATTTCAGACAGTGATTAACTGACAAATTCTATAAGTTATCAAAGTATCAGTATGAAAGATGACTTCCAGGATACAAAGGGACAAGTGCAAGGGAACTAAATATGTACTAATTAATGGACTAGGCTTTTTAAGACAAATTATCTCATTTAATTAAAAGATGATACTTACAACAACATGGAACCACTGGCAAACACAGGACATTGTGAAGGCAGACCTTCGATATGTATGTGTATTGTATATGTTGGGGGGCAGTATATCTAAGAAGGGAAGAATGGTAAGGGGAATGGCAGAGAGTAAAGACGATGAGTTAAGTTTTAAATAAATTGAGCTAGAAGACTTCTATTTTCAGGAGAAAACAACCCATGAGTATGATAACAAATGTACTATCAGAATTTTTTAAAAACTACCTTGGTACAGCAAAACAAGATGATATATTCAGTAAATGCTATCTTTACAAGTGAAGAAGTTTTAGTTTATTATAAACATATAATGGCTATTCACAGTAGAGAATGAAGAATTGGTAAATCAATTCATTGTGCTTCTCTTTTGCTTTCTACTCTCACAGTTAACTGTTGAGAAAAAGCATGCTTGCTCATCCTACTAGTCCTTGTGTGGAAAAAAATTCTGAAAAAATATATATACACATATTAACATATAAGTCTTGTTATCCTTACTAGATTACAATCTCCTCAAGGGCAGGTTACATACCTAATTTATGTTTGTGTCCCTCAGAATACCAAACAGAATGCCTTATACATTGCTAGTACTCAATAAATACTTTTAAGTAAAGACCCCTTCAAGATCTTATTTAAAACACAATGCATCACTTTGATGGTTCTCCCGTCCTGAGAATACTAACTGGATTTATTCTATTGGCACTGTTACCACTGTAAGCAGTATTTTCATTTTTTAATCAAAGCCTGTTTTGGTCTAATTCTAAATAAGAAGAAAAGGAACTCAAAAAAAGCAGAATATACGAACTTTCAGGCCCAAGAACTAAGCCAGAAAAGAGGCAGGCAAAGGAGTGAAGTAAGTAAAAATGTTTTGCTAACATCTCTGACTACTCCTAAGATTTTATTTTCCTCTCCCCAACTCCTAAAATGTCCTCTGTTTGTGGACAGTAAAGACTCTTTCTTAAAGCTGTTAACCAAATACTTGATGTATGAGCCACTAGAAGAGCTATCTAGAATTGGTTAAAGTTCAAAGATTACTATATATACACAACTGATTTTTGCTCTCTGCCTGTCTATTTTGAGAAGGGAAACAATTCAAAGATGAAAAATATACCTTTGGGCTACAGGCATGAAATTATGTGCTGCATATAGTCATAATTCCTCAAGGTTCATAAAAGATGAGACTCAGTTAAAATTTTCATGTTGATCAACACTTTAAAATTAGGTGGTGCCTTACTACTTATCTACTGTCTCACAACTGATTGGCAGAGATGGCTTCATGAACATAGCTCAAGTAAACATGACCTGTCCAGTTCTGTAATTTATGTGTCCTTCCACCACTCCTTTTTCTTGGCTTTTCTCACACTTTTTTTTTCTTT